GGGGCCCCAAACACACCCAGGGGAGGCCCCAGGAGGGTTTGGGAGGGGACAGAAACCCACCCCATGTTGTGCTGCGGGGGCTTCTCTCCCCCAGCACTCCCCGACGCACCAGGACCCCGGGGACAACAACCAGCTTGGGCAGAGCCCTCGGAGGGGCGACTGTGACTTTGATTCTCTTCCCTCTCTTTCTCTCTTTTCCCTCCCACATTTCCCTGGGTGGCTGTATTACAACCCAAAGGGCTCCACATCTGTTTTCCTTTGCAACCCAACTATTCCCAAATAAATGTTCTCTCTCCCTCTTTCTGTGCAAACACCAATCAGCCAGGATTGTTTTACTTTACTTCACCCCAAGGGATACATCATGGCTGGGCTTCGCAAACAAAGATTTGAGAAGGGCTCTACCCACGCTTGCTGCAGGGGCGCTGATGGCTAAAAAGGCCAGTGCCAGACAAGTCCGGTTGCAGAAGGTGCAGCAGAAAGACTCCCCAGGTGATATCGATGAGACGCGATTCTTTCTGCGTTGTCTTTTCTCCTCCAGAGTGATCCTGTGTGTGTTCTCAGAAGCAGCAGCAGCGTTATAGATGGTGTGTCTCCAGGCCTCCCGATTGGAGGCCAGGGTAGACCGATGGTGGGGATCAATATGGTCAAGGCTGAGGGATTGTTTCACGCAGTCCTTGTATCTCCTCTTCGGGGCTCCTCTCACTGCAGCCAGTGGCAAGTTCCCCATAAAGCACGATCTTAGGGAGGCGATGGTCCTGCATCCTGGAGACGTGCCCTGCCCAGCACAGCTGAGTTCTCAGCAGCACGGCCTCAATGCTCGTGACTGCTGCCTGTTCAAGGACAGACGTGTTGGTCACACAGTCAGTCCAGTGGATGCTTAGGATTGTACGGAGGCAGCGCTGATGGAAGCGTTCTAAGAGACGCAAGTGGTGGCGGTAAATGACCCACGGTTCAGACTCATATAAAAGAGTAGACAGTACAATGGCTCCATAAATGCTGATCTTTGTACTTTTCTTCAGGTGTTTCTTTGGCCAAACTCTTTTATGGAGTTCACCAAAAGCTCTGTATGCCTTTGCTAACCTGTTGTTAATTTCTCTGTCAATCTTACCATCTGAAGAGATGATGCTTCCCAGGGAATTAAATTCCTGGACTGATTTGAGCTCTTTTTCACCAATGGTGATATGGGGATGATGGGAGACTTCCTGAGGAGCAGGCTGATAGAAAACTTCTGTTTTCTTCAAGCTGACTTCCAGCCCAAAAAGCTCAGCAGCCTCTGCAAAGCAGGACATTAAATGCTGCAGGGAGCAGGCAACTGGTGTGAGAACAAAAGCAGGGCCAGGAGGGACACACGACCCCCCCAAACTCCGGGCGGGGATGAACTGGGGGGTCCCGGCTGGGCCCGAGGCCATGGGGAGGGGCTGCGGCTCAGGAGCTCTGTGGGGAGAGAAAAGGGGGTGACAGCGGGCTGGGGGGGGCAGGGGGGACACACACGCTCTGGGGAAGGGGGGACACGACCCCCGGGGACCCCCTTTACCTTCTCCCACAGGTAGAAGCCGAGCCCCAGCGCCAGGAAGATGAAACCCAGCACGAAGCCCCCGACCCCCACCAGGATCGTGCTGCGGACGGTGTCCTGTGGCATCTCTGGGCGGAGCCGGGGGGGTCAGGACCCCCCAAAAAACCTCCCAGAGACATCCCGGCACCCCCCAAAAACCCCGTCCTGGTCTCCCCCAGCCCACCCAGGACTCTCTGAAACCTCCTGCCAGTCCCTTCCCAGCCACTCGGGGATCCCACAAAGCCCCTCCCATCCCCTTTAGGACCCTCCAAGCCCCCTCCCATCATCCCCATGACCCTCTGAACCCCTCCCAGTCCCTTCCCAGCCCTCCCAGGATTTCCCCAACCTCCTCCCAGTCACCCCAAGCCTCCCCCCAGTCTCCCTGCCGTCCTACCCAGGCTCCCCCAAACTCCCTTCCAGTCACCCCCACGACTCCCCACAGCCCCTCTCAGCCCTTCCAGGACCCCCCAACCTCCTCCTCTGCCTCTCTATGACCTCCAATCTCCCTCCCAGTGTCCCCAGTGCTCCCCCAGCCCCCCCTGCCA